CTCATTCCCCGTGGTTAATATTTTTACAGGAGCGAGTCCGGCCGAGAAAGCACCAGAGGTGTAACTATGGTGTATAAGACACCATCTTTTACCTTGCCTCTTATTTTAGATTATACAATGTATCTTGTGCCAACTTAGGACATATCTTTTTGTGAAGCATGTAAACTCTAATCCTTTTTATTAAAAGTATTTATATGACCAAGAGGATTATGTCTGTCCCTCTTGATTTATGATCTGATTTGAATATCATGACATGAGGATCCTGTCTGTCCCTCATGGTTCTAATTGCTTTTTGAGATATTTTAAGACCTGTGATATATTGTCTTGGATGTATCATGATAGAAATTTTTCTACCATGATAAGGGTATGATAAGGGTTCAATGAAAAAAAATAAAATAATTTGTTGAATTAATAATTTGCAAAAAATCGGTTTGTAAATTTGAGGGTGTTACAGACCCAACTAAAGATTACTGTACTCACTCTTAGACTATAGTTCCCCATTCTCAAATATTTGGGGTGCTGTATACCTTAAGTTAATCTCCTCAATAAATAAGTCCCTTGACAAATTATGAGACAGTCCCTTGACAAGTAGTGGAATAAGGCTAGCCTTCGTGTACCAAAAAGCCACCATAAAGTACCATATGAATTTATTTGCTCCTTTCCTTAGGCGAACTTCCACCCAACAATCATGCAATATTTCATGCTTACGCACATTTTCGTGTGCTTGTAAATCACAATAACAAACTTATTATCTTAATTCATATAACTAGCCTAAGCATGTGAGCAAGACAATCATTTACATTTATCACATATAACTTTTAATTTTAATTTCAATTTCAATCACAAACACATATTCTCCACTTTACTCAATCATCACTTTCACACTATTGAAATCACAGAATTATCAAAACAACACATCCACTTGCTCACTTCTCAACACACTTATAGTATGCAAACATTCAATGTCACTTTCACAAATACAACCAAATTAGGTTAAGTAAAGCCTCATGATATTTTGGCATATTAACAACCACAATATTTAATCATTCCAAACAATTCTTCCATTTTCAAAAACTCACATCAATTAATAAACAAGTATAAAAAATAAATTTTTCTCATTTACCTCAGACCTTTAAGAGATTAAAAGTTTATGTAACATGTATTTTAATTTTAAAGAAGTTTATCTGTATTTTCAAAATAGAGGGGAGGTTTATTTAATTGTTAAGCGATAATAGAAAAGTGATCAATATATTTTACTTTTTTTTAATACATTCTTACTCGGTTATACCACCTCCAGTCAAAAATTATTATTGTTTAAAGTAATGCACATAGATTACGAAATCTTTAATTAATACGATAATATATTACCGTATATTATCGACTAAAATGCCTTCATTTGATAGGGTGAAAGAGAGATAAATTAACATAAAAGATGAAAATAAAAAGAGAGACATAATTGTTTTTTTTTAACCAATGGAGATATAATTGTTAAATAGCTGTACTTTCCCTAAAAATAAAGAGGTTTGCTCTAGAACCAAAACAAAAAAAAAAACAAAAGAAAGGAAAACAACAATAAATATGGAAGGGTAAATAGCTATACTATCCTCTTCATTTCTATTCTTTCTCTCTTCTATTTTACAAATTGATATGAGCCATATGACAATTATTCGTGTGTGAACAATAAATAACTAGGCGTGCCAGAGATGCTGAGTCTCAATTAATAACAAAAAGATCTTGGACTCCCTTACCACAATTCACTCAGATGTAAAAGATACATAAAACTTGGTTAGAACAAGTGTTTCTAATTTTTATTGAAATGTCAAAAAGTTACAAGCCTAAATTAAAGATAAAAACTAAAACTGATACCTAAAAGCTATGAATGTAGGATGTGAGTCTTTGTTGAGTGTTGATTGTCCTTCTTCTATGCTTTCGTATTTTATTTATAGTGTCAGAGTGATGGTAACCTCTCCATTGAAACCTAGAATGTTTGCTAAAGCATTAAGGATTTCGTGAAACTCATGGCACTGTCTTTACTCAGTGTTTTTCATTTTTGCCAATTAGCCCATCTCACCAAGATACTTGGGCATGATAATGCTATTCTCGCGGATTTTGGGATCACTTAGGATCGTGTCTTTATACGCCAATAGTCCAATATTTGCAATTGATGAGATCTCGACATGTTCATCTTGTCGTAGCTTTTTATTGAGCTCGAGACCGACCCCTTTGTTCAGATTGAGTCTGACTCTTTAGTCACTCAACCTAAATAACTTTATGACCTACCTAATGCTTTGGCTAGTGACGTTTCATATTTCAGCCTAAACAATAGTAAAAATCTAAGTCATACACCACAACACATGTCACACAGACCATGGCTTGTAGCATAGAGGAGGCTCCCTCTTGTCTTTTGGCCCAATGTACCATGGCACACCACACACACTACAACATGTGACACAAAGGTTTTTTTTTCTTTATTTTTCTCCACTTTTGATAGCCAAGTAACCAAATTCTACTTCGAACCTAATTTTATAGCTAAAATCACAACCAAAACATTCATTAATCCCTTTTAACTACACACCACATAAAACCTATATATATTTACCCTTAATTAGGTTAATTGTATGGGGGCTAATTTTCAAGATTTTACATAGTCTCTCTTAAAATCTCTTTATTTGCATTCAAGATTTAAAATCATGTCATGTTCGACTTGATGCAAAGCACCATTCTTCATGATAGATGGTCCGAAACGGGTAGCATTACTTATGCCCAATCATTTAGGCCTAACATGGCCCATTTATCTCTTAAATCCTCTTTTAAACCCCATATAGAGTTTAATAGAGTCAATTAGTCATCCGAACCCCCTAATTAACCTCTAATTACCACAAAACTAGCCAGTTAAACCTCTTGATTAATTAATTTAACTCTTAAATTAAATTTTTAAGATGTTACATCAATAGCATTAGGCAAATTGAATTCCATGATGAGTTTTTTGAACCCAAGATCCCAAGCCAATTTGAACCCCCACATGCAAGCTTATAGCTCAGCATATAAAGTATCTTCACCATTCATCTTATACATGAAAGCAGCCTCGAGGAGCAAAAATTTTTTAGAAAAAATTATATATAAGTCTCATGAAATAGAGTTAATTATAAATAAGTCTTATAAAATTTAAAAGCCATAGCCACATCCCTTAAAACTTGAGTATCATTTAAAATTAAGTTACAAAGACAATTAAACTCTTATAAAACATATGTTACATTAATTAAATAATTAATTGATAATTATTTCATGAGCAATTTACAATAATAATTTTAATTTTTTACAATTATAACTTCACATATTTAATAAGTAAATAATCATGTGTTAATAACCAGATTTAATATTAATTATTTATAATTACTTCATCAGTAATTTACAATTATAATTTTAATTTTTTATAATTATAACTTTATATATTTGGACGAAATAAAAATTAAATACTTGACATATACATACTTATGCTATTGTTTGAGATATGCCCTTTATGATATCATTGTGTAGATTTCATAAGTGTGTATAATATGCACACAAGAAAGTCAATATAAGTTTTATATTGATTCAATAAAGATTAGATTGGCCATAGAAAAAGTGTATGTAGGTAAATCTTGAACATTTAAGATACATTATTAATACAAACAGCAAATCAACAAATTAAAGGAGTTGTTTCGTACTTATCCATAAAGGATTTCTAGTACAAAAATATTGAAATGAAAATGTCATGCATATGCAATCACGATAAAGCACCTAATACAAATATGAGAGACTTAGTGGAGGATGTTGGATAGCATTTTTTATCAATTGAGCCAAGTAAAACCGGACCAAATTGAGTTAAATAATTATTTATATTAATAAATTTTTTATTATCTTATGAGTGGTTCTGAGAGTATTTTGAAAGGAGTAGTTATTTGTTTTAAATAAACAAAATAATAACCTACTATCTCTGAGTAGATATTAGATAATTTAATACTCTCTTCATTAAAAAATATAATATATTTTTAATTAAATTTTAATTACCTATTTCTAAACTAATCTTATTTTTTTTATATTTATCTTGATTAAATATCTTATAATAAATATAAAATTATTATTAATAAAAATATTTTAAAAATAAAGACAATAATTATATTTTAAAAAATTAAAAATATATTATTTTTTTAAATATTAAATTTTTTAAAAAATATTTTATATTGTTAAACGAAAAGAGTATAACATACATTCAGTTTTGCCCACACTCTCAACAAAACTCACATAAAGAACAAGGCTCATCTACGACTCTCCCTCTCCTCTCAATGCGTCTACTGTGTGTCAAATATTTGTATCCATCATTGTAATAGGATTACCGTGAGGCAGAAATAAGACTATTAAGCATCACTATCAAAATTATCACATCGGAACTGCACACCATTTTCTTACAAACAAATAATTTAATTATCACTAATAATTAGATAGATAAAAATAAAAATTTAAAATTAAAAAGGTATATTTATGTTTTATAATTATTAATAAAGAGATTTACATAAATTTTAAAAATAAAATAGAAGAGAGAGCAATAATACATTTTATATTTGCAATTAAGATAAAATAAAAATCTTAAAAATATCCACAAAAAAAGTATTTCAAATATTTTTCAATTTTTAAATTTACATTTATCTTGATTTTTTTAAATACTAAAACATTAAAGTTTATTCCGCGGTTAAACGAGCGACTTCACAAGTTTCTTTGCAGTCATTCCTTAAAATTTGTGATTAGCAAATGAAGGATACTTCGTCCAAAGAAACATATAAATTAAAGACTGAACGCTTTCAACTGCCCTCCTCGCTTTCTTTCCTCATAAATCCAACTTTAATTTACCGTAGATCCCTGCAATAACCCTCACGACCTCTCCAATCCAACCTCAATGCAAATTTCCACCAATGAATTTAAAAGAACAAGAAATTAAATTAAAATCAACAAGGAAGACAAGATTACAAAAGAAAAACGAGGCTCATATGTTAATCCAAAACCACACCCATCAAAACAAAATCCCAAGTGAAACTTTACAAGCGTCCACGAAATTCAATATTTCTGACATATATGTCACAGACAAACATTCACAAGAAATAGCATAAACGCAGATCACAACCCCAGAAATTCAAACCAAGAAAACGATTATAAACACAGAAAAAACAAAAAACAGAGCATAAACAGAAAATTGTCATCCATTATTCTCAACCAGAGATCTCGATGGCCTTAACCTCAGGCTTCTTCACCTCTTCCTTGGGAACAGTCACAGTGAGAACCCCATTCTCCATGGAAGCCTTCACTTGATCCATCTTGGCGTTCTCCGGCAGCCTGAATCTCCTCAAGAACTTGCCGCTGCTACGCTCCACGCGGTGCCACGTGTCGTTCTTGTCTTCTTTCTCCACGTTCCTCTCTCCGCTTATCTGAAGCACACTGTTGTCTTCGATCTCAACCTTGACCTCCTCCTTTTTCAGCCCTGGAAGATCGGCTTTAAACACGTGTGCTTCGGGGGTCTCCTTCCAGTCAATCCGAGTTCCGATGAATGCAGAATTTTCCCGGGAAAGAGTTGAGAGAGAAGAAGGAAAAGGGAAGTCCTTGAAGGGATCCCAGACGTCAAGAGAGAAGGGATCGAAAACGCTGCTCCTCCGGTCGCCAAAGAAACTCGGGATCAACGACATCTTCGAATCGTGGAGATTGAAAATCCAACGAGAAAGTAGAAAGTGTGCACTTGGTGTTGTGGATTAATCACGAATTGACTGAGAATATTTCGCTGGCAACGGAGGGGGATGCATCAGGTATTTAAAAGCGAAGGAGGGAGAAATCTAGTACTTCCGAGCTCACTTCAGATATTTCCAGAAGGGTCGGGAACATGGAAGCGTCCAGATTTCTGATTATTATTTCAGCTTTAGAGTTTTGAAGGTTTTTTATAAAAAAAAAAAAACGAGTTAAAGAAATAAAATAAAATAAAGATAATTTAATTTATATAATTTAGAGACTAATTCAATTTGAGACTCTAAGTGATTCAATTTAATATTATAATTTTTATAAATTAATTATCTAGATATACTTTGGATAAGACAGATTTAATATTAAATTTTTTAATAAATTTTATTTTATTAAATATAAAATAAAAATAAAAACTTTAAATCTAGACCTTGCAAATAAAATTTAATGTTGAATTTAAACTATTCAGAGTATATCCAGATAGTTAATTTGTGAAAATTATACCATTAAATTGAATTATCCAAATTTAATTAGTACTGTTTAGATCAATAATGAATATATCTAGATTGATGATAAATATATTTATAAAAAAATTTATAAATTTTATTTTTATAAAATTAAAATTTAAATTTAAAAAATTTCAAACCATTTAAATTAAAATTTAAATGGCACAAATCTTTTTTCATGATGAGCACTGCAGTACCGAAACCGGACTCCTTATGATAAGGTGAAGCGCACTACACAAGCCAAATGAATGTCAGATTTTTTTTTCTTGTCTTCTCTTTCCTCCTTTCTTTCAATTATCAAAATAAAACATCACTATTTTTACAATCTTTTTAAGATTTAGAAGGTGGAAGTCTACATTAAATTTTTTATTTTTATTTAATTGTTTAAAAAACATTGAAAGAGAAATCGACTGTAATTATTTTTATTTAATTTTATAAAGGAATAAAAAACTATATATAGCACAAATCATGTGAGACTATTTTTGTATAAAGTCTAAAAATTAAATTGTATTACTTTTCATTTAGAATATTCAACGTTTTATTAATTTTATATTTTATATCAAAAGAATATCAATATTAATAATTAATTATAATTTATAAATTTATTTTAGAATTTCATTCTACCTTTTTTGTTTAAAAATTATGATTTTTGATTTTCCAATTTATTTTTGATTTTTAAATTATCTCTTTCTTAAAAAAATTGTAATATAAAGTTTATTATTTTTCTTAAAAATATCAAATGAGTTATATATAATAAAATTCATATATATTTTTGTCATACTACATTTCAACTAGCTTTTGAATCAAATTATTCAAAAAAAATTTCAATTTGTTCAATTAACTTCTAAATAAAAGGTTTTCAAACATAAATTATGTTACAATCATAGAATTTTCTTTTAATTTTAATTTGCTAATCTCAGTTATGAATTTTTTTTTAATCCAAATATACACTTCATCTAATAAAAAAAAATCTAAGAAGTAGTACGTCTTATTTATAAGAGTGATTAATGAGTGTAATGCTCTCAATGACATTATCATACAACCTTTCACGCTTTTTACTAATCAATTCAAAATCATATTTTGAAAGCTTTAAGATCTCAATATAAAACTTTTGAAAATATCTTTACAAAAACTATTTAAGTTATTTAAAATAGCACACAGCAGAAGTATTAGGCATAAGCACACCAAAGAGCAACTTAAAACATCACAATTCACACAAAAAGTAGGTCATGCGCCATGGCTTGTACTGCATGTGCATAGAGACATTATCATCACACTCTGGACCATGTGCTGTGGCATGCTATCACACACTGACACATGCACAGCGGTGCACACACACCAAATTCTATTGTCAATGTCAAAATCTGATGTAAACTTTGGATGTGCGACGTTTTTACATCGGATGTCGTATTTTGGTGATTCAAGCTCCCACAAGAAGTTTTTTTCACAATCTAACTAACAACACTGATTTCATTTAAATTCGATATCTCATTTAAAAGTTAGATATTCAAGTACATTTTGACTGTTTAATGTCAAAATTCACCACTTAAACATCACCATTTAAAACCACAAGTCATTGGCTACTTTTAGGGCCTTGATCATATTCAAATGAATAATCAACACCTGATTGAGCAATTATACATTAATAAATCATGTATATATACATTTGACCTGCAAACTGCCTACCACACTCTTTTGGGCATATTCACATTTCTCAATCTCATTCATATCCACAACCAAATTCTACATATACAACCCATTTACATATAACCACACGTACACATATTCATTCGCTAGCCTAAAATATCATTTCCACCACAATTACACATACACAATGGGCTAGGATATAAAAACCACCATACACACAATATTCACAACATTATGCACATGTATCAAATCCTATAGCAACTTATATACATATTCATAACTACTTATATATAAATTCATTACACCAATTCTTACAAGGCTATATTGAGAAAATCATAGTTCTTGGCCTGAATCTTTTCCTTTAATACCACTACTAGCAGAACTTGAAAAATGTAAATAACTGCAGGTGAAATCAAAATCTCAATAATCAATATAGCTCATTAAATGTCTATTACTACAGATAACTATACCAAAATAATAAAACCAATGTAATAGCTTATATATAAAAAAAGTATATATAATTTTCTCTTTTTAAAGCATTTCCACACAACTACCACAACAACATGATCATCTAGCCACCAAACCTCCAAAGCTCATCGACACGAAACCATAGGCTCTAATGGATCAATCACATATTGACCTGAGCACATTCTTAGTGGTACAAACATCTGACCAAAGGTAATTTATCCTACCTACAGACCATGGTTTCTCTCATCTCACACACTTGCGATAGAGGTATCATTGACTCTTAACCGCACCCTAATGAGTACTAGGGAGTTGTCAGAATGCCTGGATGTCTCATGGTAACAGTCTCAATATAATGCTATACCGGATTACCTATGATACCAGCCAATATAATGCTACACTAGATATCCTATGATGCTAGCCTGATCATATGAATTTATTTACTCATATCTAGGCATACACACATCTAAACATATCCTAGGTGAACTCTCACCCTTTATAATTATGTTTTTCACACATATATCATTACTTTTCCCACAACTCACATAAAAAAAACACACACACACACACACTCACTCACTCTTATATAGATCAATCTAAACCAGTGATCATCACACTTTTATTTACAAATTAATTTTATACTGAAACCATTTATAATGTTAAATTATTCATAGAAACTGACAAAACAATGATTTTGCAATTATACAATTACTTTTACACAGTTATGATAGTTAATAAACATAATAAACTATATGGTTACCTTAACCCTTCTGTTTGATAGAAAGGGTTACCTATGTTATATCATTACTCAAGTCTCTTTCAACTTATTAACGCGTCACATGCTAGAATCTATACAAAATTAACAACCGAAGTCAATTGTCTTATTGACTAAAAGTGTCAATTACAATAATTAAGCATCTAATAGCTATTACTTCCTCTATTCATGTTTATCCACGCGTATTAGGACTAATTACCACTCATTACAAGCATTAACCTTTTCTTAATTAGATTTCTCTCATTAGTCTCTCTCTCTCTCTCAAATAGGTTAATTTAAGTCTAAAGCTCAAAGTTTTATTGTTCCGACTTAAACCAGTCACAAAATACTAATTTAATTCTATAGAACTTTTTATTATTATTAGATAAGAAATCATCTCCTTAAAACTTTTGGATTCAATTTCTTATTAGTTTAAACTAAGAGAAAATAGGGTAGAATCAAAAGTTAAGGCATTACAAGACTACTTGATAAGTAATAGGTTGGAAACGTTGTCCTTACTCCTAAGATTGCTTGCCCTAATAGAGGTCCCCTTCTTCTCCATGCCCGAACCTCTTTCTCTTGCTTTTCTTTTTGTTTTTTTCATAAGCTATCACGTCCTTATTAATTAGAATTATGTGCCATGCACTGCAGCATACCCATCTCTAACTATAATGTGTGGCACAGTGAGGAAACTCATTACCATGCTCACATACTCTACTTCACAATGCCGTTCTTCCACACTAATCTGTTCATATAACATTTTAAAGAGTCAATACACCCCTCTATCTTTCAAATCTTAATCCCACATTAAATTACTAATTCACCTCTTAATTAGTATTAATGCTAGAATTAGAAATTCGGGATGTTACAGTTCTCCCCTTCTTTTAAGAATTTTGTCCCTAAAATTGAAATACTACTAGTAATACACACATACCTACGGGACCAACTGAGGGTATTATTATGTCATCTTGGCTTCTGTCTCCTAGGTTGTGTCACCAGGAGTTATACCCTTTTAGATTACCTTCATTAGTAGAATAATCTTATTTCTCAACTGCTTATCCTCCACATCTACTATTTGTTTTGGTTTTGCTTTATAGGTCATGTTCTCTTGCAATTCTACCTCTTCAGGCTCAATTATATGAGAAAGATCTAGTTGGTATTTCTTGAGTTGAGACCCGTGAAATATATAATGAATTGTGAAGGATAATTGTGAAGGTAAGGCAATTCGATAAGCAACTAGCCTGATTCTCTCTAGAACTTCGAACGAACCCATAAATCTAGAAGTCAATTTCTTAGCTCTAATTGACCTTCCAATTCCCATTATTGGTGTAACCTTCAAAAATATATGGTTACCTACCAAAAACTCTAATGGCCTTCTTCATCGATCGGCATAACTCTTCTACCTGCTTTGAGTTATCAACAGTTTTTGCTATATGAACTCAATCTTTTGAGTAGTCTGGTCTGTAATGTCATGCCTTATAACACTTCTTTCACTCAATTTTGTCAAACATTATAGTGATCTATACTTTTTTCAATATAGAGCTTCATATGATGCCATTTGAATACTGAAATGGTAGCTATTGTTACACATAAATTTAGCCAATTGCAAATGGCTATCCTAGTGATAAATGATAATTTTATATATTTTTATTCTTTTAATTTAGACTTTTAATTATTTATTTAAGGCTAATTGAGTTTAATTAGATATTATTTGATTTTATTAGCTAATATTCAGTTTTGGAATTTTAACTAACTAAATCTTTGATTTTAAAATATAAATAATATCTTTAATATTTTTGCACAGGTGCTATTTAATTTTATTTTATTTGTGCAGATTTTCTAGATTCAATTTGAAAGATATTGATGAAGAATATTTTGGATAAGAAGAATATGGGCATGCTTGGAGATCAAATCAAGAATCAAATCTTTAAATTTTATTTGAATTTATTTTGGATTATTTAGTGTAATTTTTAATTAGGGTCCACTTTTCATATATATATATATATATGAATAGATGGGGGACGGAGAGGAAGCACGATCTGGGAAAAAAAAAACGAAAGAAGGGAAACAGAGCAGCGATCGCCATTCGTCTTTCCTTCTTCCAATTTCTTAGGTGATGGCTTCTCAATTTTTCATTTCATGTTGTTTGATTTTTAATTCTATGGAGAGCTAATTTTTTTTTTGGTGTGATCAATCACAAACCATGATCCTAAATTTTAATCAGAGTCTTTAATATTCAGGAAAGATTTTATTTTAGCTTTATTCCAATTTTCTCTTCTTCTCTCTACCTCTAAATTTTATGCTTTAATTACTATTATTGATTAGAGTAGCTTTATTGCATAATTTTTGAGTTATAAATTTTATCTGAGGTTTTAATTGCTATAATCGATTGATATAGCATTGTAAGAGTAATTTGGCTTGGCTTGGGTGATTATCCATGCTTTGTTTTTGGTGTGGCTATAAAACAATTGTTAGGTTGTGGGTTAAAGGAGATTTCAATTAATCTATAACTTAACTTCTTGTTTAATTCTTGAATGATAATTTGAGAAATATTATAATGAAACCAGAATAATCAAGTTGAATAAAATTAATTTATTTTGTAGACGAGGAAGGTTAAATTTAGGTGATTGGGTTGTGATTGATTGCGCTGCTTGTTGTCGGTAATTTTCTTAATTGAATTTCCTCTATTTATTTATTTATAATTTAGTTTTTAATTTCATCATAAAAAAACCCCCCCATTATTTACCTTTTCATAATCATAATTTAAATAGTTACTCTATTGACTCTTAGGGAGACGACCTAGGTTGCACTTTACTGTAAAATCTAGTTTTTATTAATTTTGGTGCTATTCGACAGTAGTGTCAAAATTTTGGCGCCGTTGCCGGGGAGTCAAAGGTGTTAACTTTTTGAGTTTGGTTATTAGTTTTTTTTTTCTTCTTTCTCATTATTTTTATTTTTTTTTTTTTTTTTCTCTAGTATTTTTTATTTTTTTCAAGATTTATTATTATTTTTTGTCTTTACTTGTTTTAGGTGTTTTTCATTGTTTTTCCAGTTTATTAGTGCATGACAAGATCTTTACAAGATAAATTAATTGATTTGAACTTGAGATTGAGAGAACTTGTCGTACTAACCGTAAAAATCAAAAGCACCGTAAAATTAGGGATAGTGTGATCTCTGAAATTTTGTCTGAATTGATTGATAGCATTATTAGTGATTCTAAATCTGACTTAGACTCTACAGTTAAGTTGGAAAATATGGCTGAAAATAATAATGGTAATAGAACAATTAAAGAATTGGCTGCTCCTAATGCACACTATCAAAATTTATGCATTCAATATCCTAATTTAGATGCAAATGCTAGTTTTGAATTGAAATCTGGTTTAGTACATTTGCTACCTAAATTTCATGGTCTTACAGGAGAGGACCCGAATAGGCACTTGAAGGAATTTCATATTGTGTGCTCCACCATGAAGCCTCAAGGAGTTTCAGAAGAGCAAATCAAATTGAGGGCTTTTCCTTTTTCATTGGATGGAGTGGCAAAAGATTGGTTGTATTACTTGCAACCAGGTGCCATTACATCTTGGGATCAAATGACACAGTTATTCTTAGAAAAATTCTTCCCTGCCTCTCGCACAGCTGCAATTAAAAAGGATATTTGTGGGATTCGTCAGATGACTGGGGAGACATTTCATGAATATTGGGAGAGATTTAAGAAATTATGTGCCAGCTGCCCTCACCATCAAATACCTGATCAGCAGCTGGTTCAACATTTTTATGAAGGTCTCTTACCAACAGATAGGTGGTTTGTTGATGCCGCAGCTGGTGGTGCTTTGGTAGAACTTACTCCAACTGATGCCATGAATCTCATTTCTAAGATGGCACAAAATTCTCAACAATTTGGGACACGAGCTAACCAAGCAGTTAAGGGGGTGAATGAGATTCCAACACCACAATATGATCCTAAATTTGAGAACAAGATGGAGGAGCTCTCTAGCATGGTTCGGCACATTGCCTTAACACAACAAAAATTAATGAATTCACCAGCAGTGCCAACTTTTCCACAGGCGTATCCCTCACAGACGTGTGCACAACCTCAATTTTATAATCCTCAGCAAGCTACCACATCTTCTGCCTTAGTTGGGCCTCTATGTGGCATCTGTTTTTTAGCCACACACACTACTGATCAATGCCCACAGTTGGATGATAGAGTTGAGAATTGTGCTGGGATTTTTCCAACTAGATCTATGCAACAGGGCCAAAAATATGATCCTTTCTCTAACACTTATAATCCAGGGTGGAGAGATCACCCTAATTTCAGATATGGAGGAAGCCAACAACAACAATATAATGCTACAGGTCAAAATTCACAGCCTATGCAACCAATGAGGCAATCTACTCCTATTTCAGGGTCTAAAAATGATGGACCAAGTCTAGAAGAGTTAATGAAGCAAATGGCAACTAATAACATTCAATTTCAACAACGCACTGAGACAGTAATCCAAAAATTGGAGAATCAAATTGGGCAGTTGTCCACCTCCGTTAATGAATTGAAGAGTCAAGGTTCTGGAAAGTTGCCTTCTCAAACAGTTGTAAATCCTAATTGTAGTAATGTTAGTGCTATCACTCTTAGAAGTGGAAAGGAGCTTCCAGAGCCCTCCACAACATCTATCAAGAATAAGTCGGCTGCAGCAACACAAGTCACACTTGAGGAGGCTAATGAAGAAAAGGAACCAAGGAAGATCCTTCCATTTCCAAATAGGGAGACTCAAAGCAAGAAGTTAAAGGAAGCTGAATTGGAGAAAGAAGTGCTTGATGTTTTCAAGAAGGTTGAAGTCAATATTCCCCTTTTGGAGGCAGTAAAGCAAATTCCTAAATATGCAAAGTTCTTGAAAGACCTATGCACGAACAAGAGAAGATTCAAAGCTAACGAGAAGGTCAATCTAGGAAGAAGTGTATCAGCTTTATTTCATGAAGGAATGCAGTGCCAACCCCCTATGCCCTTAAAATGCAAAGATCCAGGGAGTTTCACTATACCCTGTACTATAGGAAATTTAGAATTTTCTAACGCTTTGATTGATCTTGGTGCAGCGATAAATGTTATGCCCAAGTCTCTATTTTCTTCTTTGCAGGGTTGTGAGATGAAGCCAGCCGGGATTATTGTCCAATTAGCAGACAGGAGACTTGCCTATCCTAGTGGTATGCTTGAAGACATTCTAGTTAAGGTAAAAGATTTAGTCTTTCCTGCTGATTTTTATATTTTGGATATGGGTAAAAATGATAGTCATGGGCCACCACCACTGATTTTGGGTAGGCCATTTCTTAAGACAGCTAATACTATCATTAATGTTAAAGATAGTACTCTTTCCATGGAATTTGCAGGACGTGTTGTTCAATTTAATCTTTTAGAGGCTATGAAACATCCTATAGAGGATCATTCTGTTATTAATGTGAGCATGCTTGATATGTTAATTGATGATACATATGATGAGCTTTACAATGAGATGGTTTCTAGTTCTCTTGAGATTGTTGATTTAGATAGCAATACACATTGTTCTGACTCTATTATTTATGAAGATTCTTCTGACTGTTCTGGTTCTGATGATATTGTTGAGTTATTCAAATCCATGCATGATATTGGCATTGAAACTTCTAGTGACTCTGATATGATTGCTTCTGACTCTGAAAGAACTATAGACTTTGCTATCAACTCTATGTCATGTAATTCTATTAATAATGATAATTCTAGTATTCTAGAACAAGATACTGCTGCTTCTTTTGATGGAATGCAGGTTTGTGGAGTTGATGAGCTAACTATCGATAAGCTAGTTCCCTCTATTCAGCAGCCACCTATACTTGAATTGAAAGATCTACCAGAACATTTGAAATATGCATTCTTAGATGAAGGTAAGAAATTACCGATTATTATAGCAAAGGATTCTGATCCTTGCCAAGAGGTAAAATTGTTAGAGGTACTGAGAAAGCACAAGAAAGCTATAGGATGGACACTAGCTGACATTCCAGGCATCAGTCCAGATATATGCATGCATAGGATCTTAATGGAAGACGGTGCAAAGCCATGTAGGCAACCTCAAAGGAGGCTTAACCCACTTATCATTGATGTGGTCAAAAAGGAGGTAACAAAACTTCTTTCTGCAGGTATCATTTACCCTATTTCTGATAGCCAGTGGGTGAGTCCAGTACAGGTAGTGCCAAAGAAGAGCGGGATCACAGTTGTAAAGAATGAAAAGAACGAGTTGATTCCTATGAGAGTGCAAAATAGCTGGAGGATGTGCATCGACTACAGGAAGCTAAATGATGCAA